ATGTGTCTGTGGTATTTCATTTAGAATTTTGGAGTGATAATAATGATATCTTAGAGAACAGAAGAATAGAAGTTCCTTGTTTTTTTTTCATTATCACTGGTCTTAAGCAAAGTACAGATTGATTACATACATTAAGAAACAGTGGACCCTACTCAAGGCCTCCCTTAACATAAGAACACTTTGTTCTAATAACCTGGCACTCTTTGAGACTCATCTTCCCAACACAATCACTGGTGATAAAATGAGCGCATAAGCAAATATGGTGAGGAGAGCAGATGGTGCCTGGCTATCAAAAGATATACCATCTGGGGTCTTAAAAGGCTTGAAAAGTTAAACAAGCAGCCATCTAGCAGGGAAGCAAATAGGCCCACATGGAAGAAGCACACCAGCTTGTGTAATCATGAGATGTCAATGGGATCAGGTATCAGGTATCCAAAACAAACAACTATATAGATGCAAATGACAGGGATTGCAGTGGAGACCCAACACCCATATGTAGACAATTGGATATCCCCCCGCAGAAGGGTTATAAGGAAGGGATGAGTCAAACAAGGTTCAGTATAGCACTAATGAAACACATCATTCCTCTAGTTCCTGAAGGCTTTCACACACACACACACACACACACACACACACACACACACACACACATTGCAGTCACTGCCACTACCATGACCCAGTTCTAGATTACAAATCTAGCTAGATCAGAGAACATACATTGGTACAGATAAGAGCTCTCGAAACATTCAGAAACTCAGGACGGATAAACCGCTCAGGAACAGTAGTGGGAGTAGCAATAGAATGAGTGTTGGGAATGGTCAAGGAGGGGAAAGGGGGAGAAAAGGGGAACCAATTACAAGGTTGGATATATAATCCTCTTCCCCTCCATGGGGAGGAATAACAGAAATGTAGGTGAAGGGAGACAGTGCAATATACAAAACAATAATAACAATATATAATTGATCAAGGATTCATGAGGGTGGGAAGGTAGGTGAGGGAGGGGAAAGTAGAAAATGTTTTGGAAATGATGGCAACATATGTACAAATATGCTGGATAAAGTTGATATATGGAATGCTATAAGAGCTGTAAGATCTCCCAATAAAATGATTTTTAAGAAGAAAAGAAAAGAAACAGGTGGGCACGAATAGAACTATTTCAGGATTCCAAGTAAATTAATTTGAATCTTTATGGAAAGTTTTCTGGATACATCATAGATGTCTGGTCTTTTAAAATGGCAATAAAAGCAATGAGGTAACAGGGATAATATTTACAACTTTAAAAATCATTTTATTGGAGGCTCGTACAGCTCTTGTCAAAATCCATGCATACATCCATTGGATCAAGCACGTTTGTACATGTGTTGCCATCATCATTCTCAAAACATTTTCTTTCTACTTGAGCCCTTGGTATCAGCTCATTTCCCCTCTCCCTGGCCCCCCTCCTGAGCCCTTGATAATTTATCATTTTTCCCCTGTCTTACACTGACTACTGTCTCTCTTCACCCATTTTTTTATACAACTCATTTTTCAGCCTATATACTTGTAGACAATTATCATTTCCTCCTTCCGCCTACCCTTAGTGCCTATTGTTTTTCCTCCTAGAAGCTGTACATCAATAATTGCCTATTTAGAGAGGGCAAAATATATGAACATTCTGTGGTAGGATTACATTTTAAAGCAACCCATGGTTTTCTTCTGCAAGATGATTATATTTCACTGCAGTTATAGTGCTCTTTTGGTTGAGTAGCTTTGGGGGTGTAAAATATTTGGAAGGCTGACAATTTATTTCAGGCTAGAGAGTTTGATTAATTTCTATTCTGTCTATAGTAAAATTCTGATATGTGTTTATTATATTGGATATCAAATTTAAGGGGTAGATGAGCATCTCAAGTTGAATAAAACTGCAATAATAAAGATAGAAAGGATAGTGATGATTCGGTTGTAGAGTTTTTGCATTTGATATAGGAGATCCAGGAAGATTCCATATGTAGTTTGTAGACTAAGACTAGGAAGAAAGGCCTGTGTTCTACTTCTGAAAAATTATCCAGTGAAAACCGTGGATCACAATTGTGACTTGATGGCAACTAACAGCAGTACTCAGTGGAGAGACATTTAACTGGGACGAAAATGGGACATAAGTGAGAAGGTTATGTGATAGTTATGATTGCATCTCAGCTAGGCTTAGCCAGGATTCTCCATGGTAATGAGTAGATTTTGACAGGTAGATATATACATTTAAATTTCCTTGGCTTTGTATGTATATCCACAGAACCCAACCTAAGACAATAATCCTGAAACCCTTTAATCTCTGCCTTGAATTATTTCTCTTAAGAGCCTTGTTTGACTCTAAATTCACAGATCATTTGCAAAACCATCTCCTTGATGATAATTCAGAGAGGGAATTGATATCTCAGGTTTAGATTTGGGCTAAACTGCAGAAACTGAGTAATCTTATTAATTTATATGAGGAAGCCTATTGATTTATATGTACTCTCTTTGCTTCACCAGTCACCAATAGATTCTGGACTTCTTTTCTCTAACCCACACCTTCCTCCTGAGCAACTGGGACATTTCATGTAGAAATCACACAGTTCCTGGAGATTCAATGTGTGGAAAATTACATCCACCATTTCTCCTGGCTGTTAAATTCCCTTCTTCTGGATTTCCCAATCAAGACATCACCATCCAGTTTTGCTATAACCTTTGAGTCCCCCATCCTTCTCATACTTTAGGGCCATACATGGCCATTCAGGTGAAAAGTACTTTTATATTTAAATTTTTATTGTGACTTAGGTGATAATTCTAAGATCAGATAATCAGTTTTACATTCAACAATGCATGCATATTTTTAATTTAATTTATCCATTACAATCTCAATGTACCCTCATTTATCCCACTGTGCTCCTTGTTTCCATTCCTCTCCTTTCCTAACCCTCTGCACATGTTTCCCTTTGGATCTTAAGAGGTTAAATAGTCTAACATGGGGGTGGGTGCAGTTTCAGATATGAGGGGTAAATAAAAGCCATCATCTTATGGGTGTCTCCAACAATTTCTATCACTTAGCACGCCTAGGCTCTTTTATGGTTTTGTATTTTGTTCTATATTTTTCTCCCATTCTATCCAAGACCTTCCAATGTGATACCATTAGGAGCAGTTTTCGTTGGTAGCTAGGCACTACCTAGTGTTCTTGTTTTAGGGTAATGGAGATTGATGTTCCAGTGGCCCATTAGTTCATTGTATTAATTGTTTCCAAATGTCTTAGATTTTCAATACTCCTCTTTCCCTCCAGCCAAGAGAAACCAATAGTTTCACCTTAGGTATCTAGGAGGTTTTAAGACTCCAATTTCAACTCACCAAAGTATGACAAAAACCGGAATTGCACTGGGCAGAGTGGACTTTCATAATAGACATTTTATCCCTGCTTGGTGAGTATCAAGCACCCTCACTCTGAGTTAGTGCACCCAGTGGCATTACTTGGGAAGGTTCTCTCTGGTTACAGTAATTTTTTTTTTTTTTTTGGTCAAAGCAGTTTCACCCAAACCTCAGTTTTTGTCATGGCCAATTTAAGAGAACAGGATGCAGCTGTGAATTCTGTTTCCTGCTCAGGAAAAATGCTGCAGAAAGTGTCGTGAGGGTGAACACAGCTTACAATGACAGCACTATGGGAAAAACAAGTGTACTAGTGGTTTTCTCGCTTCAAAAAAAGGTGCAATGTTGATTGGTGACAAATCTTATGTTGCACATCAACTTCCTGAATGGACAAAAATGTCGACTCATAATGCATTTGGAGTTTGTTCCACCAAGTCAGACTGTTAGTCAAGCTTTCTATTTAGAGGTTCTGGAAACACTGTGTAATGGTTGGTGACAAAAAAAAGTCCTGATTTGTGGTAGATGGTGGACTGGTTTTGTCACCGTGACAATGCACCTGCTCACACAGCCATCTCAGGGCACCAGTTTTGGCAAAAAAAAAAAAAAAAAATCACCTCTCTCTTGTTCCAAGCACTTTACTCACCTGACCTTGCTCTGTGTGATTTCTTTTTGTTTTTTCGAATGAAGAGGAATATGAAAGGAAAGCAATTTGATGACATAGGAGAGGGGAAGAAAAAAACAAGGGAGGTTCTGTTGAAAAATGTTTCCAAGAATGGAATCACATAATTGACAAATTAAGTGTAATGGAGAATACTTGAGAGTGATAAAGTTATTTTTGTAAACAATTTAAATACATAGCTTTTGGGGGGAAATTATGAGGTGTTTTTTTTGGGGGGAGAGGTACCTCCTCATATAACATTGTCTTTGTGAACTATGTTATGCCAATTGATGTCAGTCCCTGAGACCATGGTATGGAGCCCTCAGACCTAACAACTCATGTCCTCAAGGGTTTTGGTTTAAGACATTTCCATAACTTTGTCCACTGTATGTTTCACCATAATCATGGGTATATTTGCAGCAAAGATAAATACACATATATAACTCTTTTCTGTCAAATTTGTATTTATTTAGGGTATACTCATGATATATATTATTCATGAGTATACACTCACACTCTTCTTGGCACACCCCCTTAGCCTCAATGTCTATCCAAGCATCAACTGTTAACTACTTAATTCACTGCCTTTAAGTTGATTCCAAACCCCTGTGGGTTTCTGAGACTAACTCTTTATGGGAATAGAAAGCATTATCCATCTTATGCAGAGTAGCTGGTGGTTTTGAACTGCTTATCTTATGGTTAGCAGCTCAACCTGCAACCCTCTTTGCCATGAGATCTACACTTTATTGAGCAGGGTTATATATTGTGGTGAAGTAGAATTTCTTAAAATTAATAATATTCATGTCTCTGTAACTCCCACTAAATGACTAGGTGGGATATGCAAATAGTGTGTGGGAAATACTAATAGGGGGGATTAGTTCATTTGAGTTGCCTCTCCCCATGCTGTAAGAATGAGCCATCTCAGGGAGCTGCTATTGCTACCGTTGTTTAGAGAACCGTTGTTCTAGAACAGATGGTGTGCAAAAAGTATGAAAATAAACTTGGGACTGTTATCACTCCAGACACATGGAAAGATGGTGCAAGGAATACCACTGAAAGTGGTATAAGAAAGCTGAATGAAAATAAAGCTTTACTCTAAAAAATAAACAAAAAAACTAGATTTCCTATGGAAAGAATAACTTCTCCACTTGCAGGATTTGCAAAAGTTCTGTGCACCAGCCATGTTCTCATTACTGTCAAGGCTGTGCCTACAGAAAAGGCATCTGTGAAATGTGTAGGGGACAAAAAGGCTTTGGATACAAAAACTGCGAGCAAACATCTGTCTAGTGTATTAATGCTGTTTCCCGTATCTATATGGTTTGGGATAACAAAAACTCCAAGTAACATCCATCTAATGTGTTGATTATGTTTCTCACATCTACATGATTTTATTTTCTGCTTTGAACTATCAAAACATAACATAGATATTCAAATGCAAAATAACTTGTTTAAAGACACATAATTAAGTTTGAGAGAAATGGATCCATAGTCACTCTTTTGCTCTTAAGGAATCACAAAAATGTAAGTAGTCTTCTCTTTTAATTGTTGTTTTTCTTACAAACATTTTATTGAACTGTAATAAGTAGTAAATTCAATTATAAAAAACAATAATCCCAGGTCTTATGTACTTTTCATTTCTCATTATTCCTGTAATCCCTGTTATATTTTCCTTCTTCGGTTGTAGGCATTACAGGAATGGAGAGGAGATTATGGGTATTTTGCTCTGGATATCTAGGCATATAATTCTTCTCTTATTTTTGGTTGCATAGTACATTCCCTTACTGGTTCTAAGGTTTCTTAGAATCAGCTGACCTCTAATTGCAAAATCACAAGCTATTCAAATATTAGCAACCATTGCTGAATGTTTCTGGATGTTTCCTTTGTCATTAGCCCAGACTCAAATCAAAGGCCAGTTAGATTTGTGGACATTGGTTGTTGTTGTTGTTCTTGCAGTGAGATTTCCAGTTCCCTTCGTATAAAAACAGGGAACATTGGAAAAGGAATTCTCTCTCTTACTCTATATTACCTTCCCCTAACCCAAGTGAACACTGTTTATCCTCTACCCAGGAGTTGGCAAATTCGAGGCTCCCTAGCCATATGCAGGTGGCTCTTTCCGTATACTATACCTGTGGCTCTGAAAAAAAATTGGTAATATTTAAAGGATATTATTTAGATAAAGGAGATTTCATTTGTTTGCAGAAATATATTTATGGCTCTTGGATAATTGTTAAATTCTTGTGAAGGCCAGGATGCATTCTTCTGCCTCAAATGTTTACTGATTCCTGCTCTAGCCCCTGACTTCTCCTCCTGTTTTTTACCCTTCCAAATATATATGCTAGATTTCCAAAATAAAGATATACACCTTGTGTTAGTCTGGGTAGACTAGAGAAACAAATTCATAAACACGCATATGTATGTTAGAGAGACTTTTATATATAAGAGCAATTGAATATTAAAAATCATCCTAACCCAGTCCAGTCCAAGCCCCTAAGTCCAATATTAGCCCATATGTCCAATACCATACCAATATATAAAATCCTCTTCAGACTCATGAAACACATACAATGATGCTGAGTGCAGGACAATCACAAGTCAGTGGGTAGAAAGTCATTGTAATCATCTCAGAACTGGCAGGGATCTCCATGTGGCTCCTCCAGTTCCCAGGGCACGGGGTCTATCAGTGTGCCATGTGTCTTGTCTGTAAAGCGTCTCTTAGGGGGTGAGTCTTGAGTCTTGTCAGTGGAGAGTCTCCAAGGAAGTAAGTACAGAGTCTTTCCTGCCTCCAAGGAGGAAATCCCGGAGTTCCCAGAATTCTCAGCATAAGGCCATGCCCACACAAAGGCCTCATTGTCTATGACCTGATTGACAGGCTAGACTCCACCTCTTCACTCATAATTCTCTCAAATTGACACCAGATTATATAACTACCACACACATAATACTTTGAATTCAGCTGTCATGAAAGCCTAAAGGATAAAGTAGTGTTTGTTCATGATAACAGGTGTGGTAGTTACATAATTTGGTGTCAATTTGAGAATTAAGAGTGAAGGGGTGGAGTTTAGCCTGTCAATCAGGTCGCAGCTTGATGACCTCATTAGGAATACTACGGAGATAAATAGCTCATTGGAGGCGGGACACACACTTATTCCCTGCAAGGCATTCCTGTGGAGAAGACACATGGAGCTATACTAGAGCCCTGGATCTGAAGGATTCACATGGAGACCCCTGCCAGCGCTGAGACACTTCCACTGCCACTGGATCCACAAGACTTTCCACCCACTGGCCTGTGATTGTCCAGCATTCAGCATCATTGCATGTGTTTCATGAGTCTGAAGAGGACATTATAGATTGGTATCAGACAAATGGGCTAATATTGGATTTATGGACTCAATCTGGACTGGGCTGGAATGTTTTCTCAATATTCAATTGCTCTTGTAAATAAAGCTCTTTATAATACACATATGAGTGTCTATGAATTTGTTTCTCTAGTCTACTCAGACTAATACAACAATTAATAAAAGTTTACTTCCATTGAGGAAAAAAAAAATCTTTTCAGAAACAGGAACAGAGAGTATTTCTGGAACCATCAAAGAAGAGCCAGCATGGGGCACATTAGAAATTCCTATCTCAAGTGATGGAGACAGTAGTGGCTCTGCTACACAAGAGGCTACTGCATTGGAGACTATAGAACAGAGCAAAGGAACCAACCTGAGGCAGAGCGAAGGGGCTGTGCTGCTGACACCATGTATTTCCTCCCCTACTCCAAGTTAACACTTATCTACCCTCAAGCCTTCAACTTTTCTTCCTCTCCACACTCCTTCCACCTCTGTAATCTAGGAATGCTTCTTGTAGTGGGAAAATCACATGCTATTTTTCCTTTTGTGATTGGCTTATTTCACTCAGCATTATGTCCTCCAGGTTATTCTATGTTATGAGAGGTATTTTGCAGATTCATCATTATTCTTTTTTGTTTTGTTTTTAATCATTATTCTTTAACATCATGGAGTATTCCATTGTATGTGTATGTATACACGTACCAATATTTATCCATTCTTCCACTGACAGGCATTTAGATTTCTTCCATCTTTTTGTTATTGAGAATATTGCTGTGATGAACATGAAATGCATATACCTATTTGTGTCATGGCTCTTAATTCTCTAGGATATGTACCACTTTGAGGGATTGCTGGGTCATGTGGCATTTTGATTCCCAATTTTTCGAGGAAGTACCATATTACTTTCCATAGTAGTTGTACTGTTTTACAGACCCTCCAACAGTGTGTGAGGGTTCCAATCTCTCTGGACCTTGTCAGCATTTTTTATTTTCAGTTTTATTGAACTTTGCTGTTAATGCTCTGTGTGTGTGTGTTATCTCATTGTTATTTTGACTTATATCTCTTGAATGACTAAAGATGACAAGTGATCCTTCACTTGTTTGTTAGCTGCCTGAATATCTTATTGGGTGAAATATCTGTTTAAGTCCTCTGTCCATTTTTGAACTGGATTATTTGTCTTTTTTAAATTTTATTTTTGGTTGAGATGTGAAGTTTTCTGTATTAGAGATTAGTACCTTGTCTGATAAGCTACTGTCATTTTTTTTCTCAGTCTGTTGGTTCTCTTTTAGTAAAAATCAGTTGGTGCACAACAGTGTCTAATTTTTAGGTGGTCTCAGTCATCTTTTTTTTCCTATAGCTGTTGGTGTGTTTTTATTTTGTTTGATGATTAACCTGTAATCGGGACCCTGAGTGTGCCCTTGGTTTTTCATGGATGATCTTCTTTGTTTCAGGATTTACATTTAGGTCTTGCATATACCTTGATTTTCTTTTTATATACGTTATGAAATATGGGTCCTTTAGTTTCATTTACACTATCTGTTAAAGAGTCTTACTGTGATGTTTAGGGTTTTTTTTTTTTTTTTTTGGTGTGTCTGTGCCAAAGTGGCACCTGTCAACAAATATGGGTGGAGTCTAACCTGTCAATAAAGTCATAACCAGTGACCACATTTTGGGGTGTGACCTAAGTAAAAGAAGGCCCTGTGAAGGGCTGGTTGCCCTGTTTTCTTTTCCCTTCTTGCTGGAACCATACTGCACCTCCAGTTTCCGCCACCTCACATCACATGCTGTGCCCCTGGTCCTGCTGCCTCACACCCCATATCATATCATGCCTCCAGATCCCATCACCTGCCATCATACCGATCTTACATGAATTCAATTTTACTCCTTGCTCTTTAATGCATTACCTAGTTCCTGTATGTTAACACTAGTTGGATTATTATTTGTTATTTTTCTATTTGTTTATTTTATCAATTTGTTTTTAGAGTATTTTAAAAATTTTTTCTAAATTCTCATCTTTTTCCTTTTTGTTGAGTTTTCTCTTAATTTGCTGAAGAGTCTGTGAAGCTTAGCTTTTTGGTCAATGTTGCTGGGCTTGGAGTCTCAGTGGTATGGCAGTTGGGGGCCTAGTAATTTCCTGTCATGTGACCTAACACAATGTAATCAACTTCATAATGGGATCTTTTGTGAGCAACCAAGCAGTTTTAAGATTATGGTGGAGTACAACCCCCTTACCCAGGTCACAGCCCTGATGCAATTGAAATGACATGTCCTTGGGAGTGTAACTATTTCCTTTATAAAGACACTGTGGGGAAAGCTTGTTAGCTTGTTGCTGGGTCTGAATTTTTTATATGGCTCATCCACCTTCAGTTCTTTGGACTTGAACCAGTAACCTGCTGATTTCTTGAGCCATCAGTGACGAGTCATCTGACCTGCCAACTGACTTGCTGGCTTTGGATTACTTCACCTCACTAGTCATGAGCTTGACGTGCTGATCTTAGATTCACCCCCCTGTACTGTCTGGTATTCCTTATGGTCCTGGGTTCATAATCTACTTGTCAGGGGAAGTCTCCAGCTTAACATTTAACTCACAGACTTAAAACCAGACTGGACTTACCTGTTTCTATAACAGTATAAGTCATTTTCTTGATATAATCTTCTCACTTAATTAAGATATTTAAATACCACTGGTTGTGCTTCTCTAGAGAACCTCATCTAACACTGTGTCTAAACATCATTCTTCTGAAAGCCTTATCTAATAATGCCAATGCCTTTTATTCATAAGAAACATCTTCTGGCTCTGTATATTGGTCACTTGTTTGAGCCACTGCATTTTTTCTTCATATGAACTGAAATTGTGATTTCTAAAACATTGTAGTCTTGCATTTGTATTTCATTTATAATTGTATGTTTGTGAGACTACATTCTAGGGGGTGTAATAGAGATGAGAGTGTG